AAACGCAATCAACTTCAAAACCTGGAAACACCCTATTTGGTGTTTTCCTAAGGTAACTCGAACTTCTAAAACTTAGTGTCATGACCTGGTATTCTATTTGTCTCGTAGTTATTGTTGTTCTCCCTCCCCACTCTACCCCCCGACCCCCCCCTGCCCCCATACTATGGGCACCTGAGTGTAGCATTACTTTTCTTACGTGGGCCGTGTTAGTGCTGATTGTTTATTATCTGATCATTTACACTTTGCCCTGTCCGTTGTTGGGTCTTTGGGCCCTCCGCTGCGTCTCCCTCCCACCATACATTTACCCTTTGTCGTGACTGTAAGTCCCCTATGTGAAGAGCGTGTTAGATACCTAGTAATTTGCTCTTGCGAGCCCCCCTGGTTTCAGATTGTTATAATACTTTGGGCTTGTGTGTTAGCCCCCCCTCATCCCACCTCTTTATTTATTTTCCGTGCATAATTGCCCTCTTCTGTGGGGAGAAGGCGGGAAGAGAGGAGGACGGGATTAGTTTGGGTATCAGGGAAGGGCGGGGAGGCAGCGGCCATCAAAAAAAAAAAAAAAGGGGGGGGGACCCGCTGCATATGTGTGTAGTGGTGGGTGTCACTTTGGTTGGCTCTGGTGTCTCATGGTGTGCGCGCCATTCTTTCTTGATATTCCTCCCATGGTTGCCACACCTTTGAAAAAGTGCCCATGGTGTTCCGTACCTGCGCTGTCAATTTGTCCATGGTGAAATTGTCCTGTATTTTGTGAATGACTTTGCTCATAGGGGGCATGTCGGGGCTTAGCCATTGTTGGGTCAGTGCTCTTCTGGCTGCTAGGGTCAGTTTGTTAACTAGTTTCTGTTCTTTTGTCGTCAGGTCATCCTGTGGTTTGGCTAATAAAAATGTCCATGGGTCTCTGTGTATTGGTCTCTCCAGGACTGCTGTCATTAATGTCTCTATTTCCGACCAGAATTTCTCTACCTTGGGACATGTCCACCACATGTGGGTGTATGAACCTCTCTCACCACAGCCTCTCCAGCAAGTATCTGTGGTGGTTTTCCCCATTCTATATAATTTGGCCGGGGTGGCGTACCACCTCAGGAGGGTTTTATATGCATGTTCCTGAAGTGTTACGCATATGGAGACTTTGGCTGTCGCTTCCCATATATCCCTCCAGCCCTCCCCTTCCAGTGTTTGGTGTAGATCTTTCTCCCATTGGGTGATATAGGTGAGGGGTTCTGCGTTCCTCTCCGGGGCACTAAGTTGTGCGTAAAGCCCGGTAATCAGTCCCTTGCGTGTGGTTTCTGTTATGCATAATCTTTCAAAGCTAGTCATTGGAGCCTTAGCTACTTCTCTAACTCTAGGATGGCTAGCGAAGTCCCTTAGTTGTATATATCTGAAAAAGTCTCTAGTCTGTAATGGCGCTGTCTGTTTTAGTTCGTCAAAGGTTTTGAGTGTGTCTCCGTCGTATAGGTGATAGTATCTCTGCAGGCCTGCGTATTCCAGACCTTTGAAGTCCCTTGCCCGCATACCTGGTGTGAATGCCCTGTTTCTCAAATATGGGGTGAGAGGTGAGGGCATTTTCGTTAGTGCATATTTTTGAGCGTTGGCGTCCCATATTTTAATGGAGTTGAGTATAGATGGGCAGTCTGTGAGTAAGGGTGGTCTGTCTGCTTTTGGTACCCAGATCCAAAACTGGGGAAGGTCGCTTCTCATCACTAAGGATTCCAGGTCTGCCCATCTGCGTCTATCTGGGGGTGAGTGCCACTCTATTATTTGGGCTAGCTGTGCCGACAGGTAATACAGGTGAAGATTAGGAAGTCCCAGTCCCCCCAGTCCCTTTGGTCGGTAGAGTATGCGTCGGGCTATCCTATGTCTTTTGTGTGCCCATATAAATTGGTCTATGTTGGTTTGTAGGGACAGGAGGTCCCCTTTCGTGACTTTCGTGGGCAGTGCCTGGAAGAGGAACAGCATCCTCTGTAATACATTCATTTTAATTGCATGAGATCGGCTTCTCATGCCATTTTTCTAAGTCTTTTGTTATTGTTTTGATCATTGGTGTGTAGTTTTCCGTATACAGTCGTGAGACCTCTTTTGTTAGTTTGACCCCCAAGTATTTTATATGTTGGTGGTTCAGCTTTATCTACGTCATCCTCCTTATTAGCGCCGTGTCTTCCGCCGTCAACCCCAGCAGCATGGCTTCTGATTTGTCCATGTTTATTTTATAGCCTGCCACCTGGGCGAACTCCTCTAGTAGCCTAACTAGACTCAGGAGGGAGTTCTCCAGATCCGTGAGAGTGAGCAGGATGTCATCTGCGTACGCAGATACTTTATACTGCTCTGTTGCTATTCTCAGTCCCTTTATGTTTGGGTGTTCTCTAATCCTGTAGAGGAGGGGTTCTAGGGCTAATATGAAGAGGAGCGGCGAGAGAGGGCAGCCCTGCCTCGTGCCGTTACTTAGTTGAAAGGGTTTTGGGATCGCTCCTGGTATGGCTATTTGGGCCTGTGGATTCATGTACAGTGCTTTGACCGCTGTGATGTAGTTTTCTGGTAGGCCTATGTGACGCAATAGGGCGAACAAGTAATAACATTGGATCCTGTCGAAGGCCTTCTCCGCGTCCAGCGATAGGACGAGAGAAGGCGTCCGAGTTTTACCGGCCCACCAGATCACGTCCACTGCACGTCTAGTGTTCTCATACAGTTGCCTAGTTGGCACAAAGCCCACCTGGTCTGGGTGGACCAGCCTGGGCAGAATGTGACCCAGCCTGATGGCCAGGATCTTGGCGTAGATTTTGGAGTCTACATTAATCAGGGAGATGGGGCGGTAATTGTTCACCTTTGATTCGTCCCGTCCCGGTTTCTGGACCACGTTTGCCGTGGCGAGCTCTGCGTTGGGACATCCCCCCTCCATCCATTCCTGATACATTGTTGTCATGTGAGGTGCTAATTCTGCTCGCAGTGCTTTATAATAGGCCCCGTCAAACCCGTCTGGTCCTGGTGTCTTATTGCCCTCTATCAATCCTATGGCCCTGTCTACTTCTTCTGTCGTAATTGGTGACTCTAGGTCTGTTAGATCTTCCCGATTTGGTTTGGGTAGGTTTATACTGGCCAGGAAGCTTGTGACTGCCTCTACGTGTTCCCTGTTGGTTTCATCTTTCTCCGGGGAGTGATTGTATATTTGCCGTAGGAAATTGGTGAATTCCTCGGCAATGTCCTGTGGGGAAGGGTTGGCCCTTTTCGTTGGTGATGGATGTGATGTGTTTGTGTTTTTGTTTGGGTCTGAGGGCTCTAGCTAAGAACGTGTCCATTTAATTGGACTTTTCGTAAAAAAGTCTTCTCGATCGGGTGATATCTCTGCTTACCTCATCCAAGAGGAGATTCTTCAGCGCATGTCTGATGTTTTGTATGTCGTCTAGTGTGGGCTGTGTCGGGTTCTGTTTGTGTTGCATTTCCGCTTTACGGAGGGCCTTCTGCAGTTCCATTAGTTTTTCCATTTTTTGTTTTTTATTTCGTGTCACTATTTTTATTAGGGTTCCCCGCAGGACCGCTTTGTGGGCCGCCCACGTCATAGTGGGGGACATTCCTACTGTGGTGTTTAATTCAAAGTACTTGTTTACTTCTGTCTTAAGTAGCTCTAGGGTTTGCCTGCTTTTTGTTCTTTTTTTTTTTTTTTTACCCCCCTTCCAATTGTATATGGAGTGGCTATATTCGTACCCTTCTCCATTCGGGTAATCTCCCCCTCCTTCCCCTCCCTATCTTTCGTCAGACCCCATGTCCCCTCTATCCCCTACCAGCTTTCAATTTTAACTATGTCCGCAATGTCCCTTTAATGTGATGTATCATATATATCAACTTGCATGTTGTATTGTCCATGTTGCGTGTCCCTCAGGTACGGGTCGCCATCTTTGTTGCCTATCTCGCTCTGCGTTCCAGCCATTCCCTGGGAAGCAGTCCCAAAAATATTCAGCTTTGATATTAATGAGTTTTTTGGGTTCATTGAGAACATGGTTGTTGTTCAATAATAAAATTAATCCTCAAAAATACAACTTGCCTAATAATTCTGCACTCCCTGTACAGCTTTATTATATACAACAAAAAATGTTGCCGGCACACTGGCTCTCTGCCCATCATGTGACATCACATAAACCACACCTGTCTACGCTCTGTCCACGGTATGACATCACAATACGATCCGGCCATATCGTTATGTGGGATTGCCATATTTAAGGATTAAATAACTAGCTACTAAACAACTGAGAGATGAAAATTATGAAAAACCCTTTTATTCATTTTGGTCTTTCAGTTATTTAGTAGATAATTTCCTCATTTGCAATATTGATGTTGGATTGCCATATTTAAGGCTACCAAATAAGGGAGCTATTTGCTAAACAGCACCCTCATTTAGTATATTTGAATATGGACATTTTATACTAGGGAACCAACTTATCTGCTAAACAGCTGAAATGTCAAAGTTAATGGAACACTATAAACACCAAATCAACTTGAGAAAATCAAATCTGCAGTCAGGGCCGGCCTTAGGGGTGTGCAAGCTGTCAACAGGGCAATAGGGCGCCATGCCAACAGGGGCACCGGGCAACCGACACAGCTTGCACAACCAGGTCCTGCCCTACCTCAGAAAGATTGCGCCCTGGCCGGCCGAACCTTAGAGAGTGAGCTCTGCTTTATTATTGGCCAGTAAGGAGATTGAGAACCTCCCTCACTGGCCCGCTGTTTGCATGATGGAGAGGAAAGAGCAGTGAGCGCTTTGATTCTGCCCTCCTCTCGCGAGCTCAGCATTCGGAGTGTTGCCACGGAGTTACCACGACAACGCTCTTATACTATCAATGCGGAGCTCGCGAGAGGAGGGCTCCTGTTCTGCCCAAAGGTATGCAAGAGGGAGGGAGGCCGAAGGGGGGAATCAACATGAATTATTTTAAGAAAACAAAACATGAAATTGCTCTCCTACCTCCTCATTTAAAGCCTTTTGCCACCCCCGCCTACCCACAAATCATCACTATCCAACCCTTGCTGTGTTACCTACACACACACTACATAATCTGCTCACACACACCATCCCCTATACACACACTACATAATCTACTCACACAAACCATCCCCTATACACACACTAAATAATCTACTCACACACTACATAATCTACACACACACACACATTACATAATCTACTCACACACACACACACACTACATAACTTACTCACACATACACACTACATAATCTACTCACACACAACATCCCCTATACACACACTATGTTCTCTACATACATACACACTAGATAACTCACAAACACTACAAAACATACAGACACACTATGCTCCCTATACATACTCACTACGTAATTTACACATACACACTACATCCCCTATACACACACTATTTCCTACACACATACACAGTACGTAATTTACACCCATACACACTACATTACCTATACACACACACTATGTTCCCTAAACACATACACACTACATCCCCTATACACACACTGTTTCCTACACACATACACACTACATCCCCTTTACACACACACACACACACATTACATAACCTACACACACACACACTACATAACCTACACACATACACACTACATCCCCCTATACACACACACACACACACACACACACACTACATCCCTATCCCACACCACAATGTTTTCCCCACACACACTGCATCCCTATTCCACACACAACATGATGGCATGGCAAATTCAGGGAGACAGGACACTCTTGTTAGAAATACATTTGTACTCCTAATGCTAGAGTGTTCCTTCACATAGGTTTGTTTTTCCCATATCTATACATGTAGGAGGAATTCCTCTAGCCCATATATATAGATAATTTTCTGCTCTTTAAAAAGACCAGAAATTGTGTGTAGCATAATATGTACAATTTAATATGATTTCTGAGTGTAATATTTATATAGACATGTATATTAATATGTGTGTATTATTATTATTACCGTATATACTCGAGTATAAGCCGAGTTTTTCAGCACATTTTTTGTGCTGAAAAACCCCAACTGGGCTTATACTCGAGTCACTGTCTGTATTATGGCAATTTACATTAATTTACATTGCCATAATACAGACTGGGGGCTGGCAGCGAGCGCTTACCTCTCCTGCAGCTCCTGTCAGCTCTCTCCTCCTCCGCGCCGGTCGGTCAGCACCTCGGTCAGCTCCCAGTGTAAGTCTCGCGAGAGCCGCGGGGTTACAGAAGAGCTGCACGGACCGGCGCGGAGGAGGAGAGAGCTGACAGGAGCTGCAGGAGAGGTAAGTAACAGCTCGCTGCCAGCCTTCTTCCTCCCCCCACTGAACTGCCAATGCCACTGGACCACCAGGGGAGGAGAGCCCCCCTCCCTGCCATGTATCAAGAAGGGAGGGGGGACAACAAAATAAATAAATAATATATAAATATAAATAATAATAAATAATAATAATAAAAAATAATAAAAAAAAAATAATATTTTTTTTTTATAAAAATGCCCACCCCCCACCAAGGCTTTGCAACACACACACACTGCACTCATACACACACACACACACTGCACTCATACACACACTGCGCACTCATACACAAACACTGCACTTATACACACACTGCATTCATACACACACTGCATTCATACACAAACACTGCACTCATACACAAACACTGCACTCATACACACACTGCATTCATACACACACTGCATTCATACACAAACACTGCACTCATACACACACTGCGCACTCATACACAAACACTGCACTCATACACACACTGCATTCATACACACACTGCATTCATACACACACACTGCTCTCATACACACACACTGCTCTCTCATACACACACACTGCGCTCTCATACACACACTGCGCTCTCATACACACACACACACTGTAAATAAATATTCAATTAATATAATTTTTTTAGGATCTAATTTTATTTAGAAATTTACCAGTAGCTGCTGCATTTCCCACCCTAGTCTTATACTCGAGTCAATACGTTTTCCCAGTTTTTGGGGGTAAAATTAGGGGCCTCGGCTTATATTCGGGTCGGCTTATACTCGAGTATATACGGTATATGTGTTATTATGCCTATAATATTTACAAATGTATTAATATACGTGTATATGCATGATATGCCCAGAAATCACATTAATAGGTAACACCTATGTAATGGAGCTTAGCACTTTTTACAGGATGGACCATGTGACCATGGAGGGGCACTGTGAAGATTTTTCGCACAGGATGCCTAAAAGCCTAAGGCCGGCCCTGTCTGCAGTATCAATGCTCAATTCTCTGCCATTTAAGAGTTAAATCACTTTTGTTACTGTTTATGCAATCCTAGCCACACCTCCCCTGTTTGTCACTCACACAGCCTGCATGGGAAAAAATTGTTTCATTTTAATCAGATCTTATCAGGGCCGGACTGGGAAAAAAATTTGGCCCGGACATTTTACAATCACAGCAGCCCCCTGACAAATTTAATAACATGCTTGGGCTGTGTTTGCTTTTAACTTGTCTCTCGTGTCTCCATAAGTGGGATACCAGAGGACAAAGGGGCCAGGAAAGCGTATGGTCATGTGTTTGGAGCCTGCTTGTGGGATTGCGTGTGTGTAGAGTAAGCTGATTGTGGTGAGGTGTGATATTTTGTAAATAGGTCGATTTAATTCGTGTTTGTGGTGTGAAATGTGTGGCTAGGGGATGTAGAGAGTGTGTGTGTGTGTGTGTGTATAAAGGGGGCATAGTGTATATAGGATGTAGTGAGTGTCTGCATACAGGCTGTAGTGTGTGTGTGTGTGTGTATATAGGTGACGTAGTATGTGTAGGCGTTGTAGAGAGTGTGTGTTTAGATACTAGATGAGGTAGCTACTAGGGATTTATCCAATGTGTTAGAGGACTTAATAAGCTACTTAGCCCACATTGACGAATGCCTGAGACATAGGCAAAACACTAGGGATAGGCCAAGGCGTATTCCGGAACGCTTGGCTTTAACCTTTCCTTCCTCTGAAACAGCCACTGTCACTCCTCCTGAACCTATGCAATTAGGAACTACTCGGTTGTCTGATGCTGAAAAGCAATATCGAAAAAGGATGGACTTTGCCTGTACTGTGGAAAGAAGGGCCATTCACGTCTAGCCTGCCCTAGTAAACCGGAAAACTCCAGCACCTAAGCCCTCCAGGAGTGTAATGTGTATGTCCTCCTTTAATGAAAAAAAAGAACTCAGGCTTCTACTACCCATTATTCTAGAACAGGAAGAACAGATAGTGCAGGCTACTGCCTTGATTGATTCTGGGGCTGCCGAGAATTTGGTGGATTTAAATTTCGGTAAGAAACATTCTCTACCATTTAAAGCAAGATCCACACCCTTGGCCGTGGAGGCCATAGATGGTAGACCACTGTCTGTTCCTTTTATTATTAGGGAGACGAACCCCCTGATTTTATCCGTAGGTACCTTACATAAGGAAATTATAATCCTACAACAGATAACCTCTCCTACCTTCCCTGTCATTCTTGGGTTTCCCTGGCTCTCCAAGCATAATCCTGTGATAGATTGGGAGAAAAAATAAATTATTAGGTGGGGTAATTCCTGTTTCCAAGGGTGTATGACTCAAGTGAAGCCTGTAGGTTTGCTTAATGTTCCTACTATGGTACCTTTAACGACTCTAATACCAGATGTTTATCTTGATCTTAAGGCAGTCTTTGAACAGAAGGAAGCTGAAAAACTACTACCCCATCGTACATATGACTGTGCTATCAACCTGTTACCTGGTACAATACCTCCTAGGGGTATTGTGTATCCGCTCACAGTTAACGAAAATAGGATACTACAAGAATATATTACAGAGAATCTGAGAAAAGGTTTTATAACCAAGTCTTCTTCACCTGCTGGGGTGAGTTTCTTTTTTGTTTCAAAGAAAGAAGGGGATTTACGACCCTGTGTCGACTACCGGGGTTTGAACAAAATAACCATACGTAACGCCTACCCTATACCTTTGATAACGGAATTATTTGACAGGTTAAAGGGAGCGTCTATTTTCACTAAACTAGATTTAAGAGGGGCATATAATCTAGTTAGAATTAAACACGGAGATGAATGGAAAACCGCCTTTAATACTCGTTATGGTCACTACGAGTAGATGGTGATGCCTTTCTGCTTGTGTAATGCCCCCACAGTCTTTCAAGATTTCAAGAATGATGTGCTAAGAGATTATCTGCAAGAGTTCGTGATTGTTTACTTAGACGATATCTTAATCTATTCTAAGAATATTGAGAAACACCATTATCATGTCAGACAGGTCCAATCTAAGTTATTGGAAAATGGACTGTACTGTAAATTGGAAAAATGTCTGTTCGACAAAACCAAGATACACTTCTTGGGATACATAATATCGGATTCTGGTTTCCAGATGGAACCTGAGAAACTTGAGGCTATCTTAAAGTGGCCCCTACCTATAGGTCTAAAAGCCATACAGCTTTTTTTTAGGCTTCACCAACTATTAGAGGAAATTTATTACGGTATTTTCCTCTATTACTGCTCCCATCACATCCATGACTAAAAAGGGAAGAAACCATCAAAATTGGAGTCCAGAAGCTATGGTTGCTTTTGAGACGTTAAAGGAATCCTTCTCGTTCTTTCCTACTCAAGGTGGATGCATCTGAAACTGGTATAGGAGCAGGCTATCTTAAAGTGGCCCCTACCTATAGGTCTAAAAGCCATACAGCTTTTTTTTAGGCTTCACCAACTATTACAGGAAATTTATTACGGTATTTTCCTCTATTACTGCTCCCATCACGTCCATGACTAAAAAGGGAAGAAACCATCAAAATTGGAGTCCAGAAGCTCTGGTTGCTTTTGAGACGTTAAAGGAATCCTTCTCGTTCTTTCCTACTCAAGGTGGACGCATCTGAAACTGGTATAGGAGCAGTATTATCCCAAAGACCCTCAGATGATCTGCCTTTACATCCTTGCGGTTATTATTCTAAAAAATTTACCTAAACAAAAAAAAGGTATGGAATAGGGGACAGAGAACTGTTAGCTATCATTTCTTCTCTTAAAGAGTGGCAACATATATTAGAGGGGTCTGTTATGCCTGTTACCATACTTATCGATCATAAGAACTTATCTTATTTCGTAGAAGCTAAAAGAATGACAGACAGACAGGTTCGTTGGTCCTTGTTTTTAAACACGTTTTAATTATATAGTGACATATCGACCTGGATCAAAGAATACTAAGGCTGATGCCTTGTCCCATCAATTTGAACCACAATTCTCTACTGAGACCCAAAAGTCGTCTATAATACCTGCCGAACGCATTTTAGCTGCCATTCAAGCTAGAATGTCTCCATGCTTACTTGAAGAATTATCCAAACTTCAGCATCAATTTTCCTTACCCATTCCCCGGGGAAAATTATATGTGCCTCTTGTTCAAAGAGAAAAAGTCTTGATGTACAATTCTAAGATAGCTGGTCATCTCGGTATCCACAAAACTGAGTCTCTCCTTGCAAAGCAATTTTGGTGGCCTTCTTACAAGGAGGATGGCAGAGATTACATTCTTGCCTGCAGTATTTGTTCTTCTACCAAAATACCAAAAGATACCCGTGTGGTCTTCTCATGCCTTTACCCATTCCTGATAAACCTTGGTCTAGTATTGCCGTGGATTTTATAGTCGATCTTCCTACTTCCAAAAACAACATCATCTTAACTATCTTTGATAGATTCTCTAAAATGATGCATCTGGTTCCCTTGGTCAAACTGCCATCTTCCTCTGAATTGGCCACTTTGTTTATAAGGGAAGTTGTTCACTTACATGGCATACCGAATTATATAACTTCTGATAGAGGACCACAGTTTATTTCTCGGTTTTGGAAGGCATTCTGTAACCAATTGGGAATACACCTTAATATTTCATATTTTATCATCCTCAATCCAATGGCATTACTGAAAGGATGAATCAATCACTTGAACAGTATATTCGTTGCTTTACTTCTGAACATCAAGATGATTGGGTAGAATTACTCCCTTGGGCTGAATTTGTCCACAACATCCAGGTTCACGAGTCTACGCAACACAGTCCCTTTTTGATCAATTATGGCTTTGACCCTACTACTCTTCAGAGTTCTCTTTCTGCTACTGGAGTGCCAAGTGTAGAGAGCACTATGGACAGTATTAAGAAAATTTGGTCAGGGGTTAAACAAATATTGGTTCAAAGGGCCAAGGCGCAAAAGTGTAATGCGGATAGATCTCGTAGAGCTGCTCCTACTTATGTTGTGGGTGACATGGTGTGGTTAAGTACTCATAACATTAAATTGAAGGTGCCTTCTAGGAAATTTGCCCTACGATATATTGGACCTTTCAAAATACTCAATCGCTTTAATCCAGTCTGTTACAGGTTGCTCTTGCCAACCTATATGAAGATACCAAATGCCTTCCATGTTTCTCTCCTTAAACCTCTGGTATGTAATCGAAATACTAAAAAGCTTACCAAGGTCAAAACAAATATGAAGTCAGGTCCATTCTCGTTTCTAGGGGTAAATTGCAGTATCTGATTGATTGGAAAGGATATGGTCCCGAGGAAAGGTCATGGGTTTATGCCTCAGATGTCCATGCTCCTCGTTTACTTTGTTCGTTTTGCAGACTTTCTCGGGGGACTGGTTCTTCCCGCCAAGCAGGTGGTTCTCGAGGGGGGGGGTTACTGTGATGATTCCTTACCTCTCTCCTCCGGACCCGCATGGCATGGCTCCAAGTTCTGACACTTCCGGGTGAGGGCGTAGCTTGTCGGCCGCCGGCCGCTCAGTACACATCTCCTCTTATGACGTGACACGTGCGCCAACATCCGAGGAATTATACTACACAGGTGCAAAGTATTCTACGCTCCCGAACATTTTGGGGGCGTGGTGTTAAAGACACTCTGGTATATAAATAAACCTTTTTCCTTGGATCAGTGCCCTATTGTGGTTCCTTTCTTGGTTCCCTCTAGTGCTTCTATATTCTCCTTTTGTCTCTTTGTATTTTGACCCGGCTTGCCTTCTTGACTACTCTCCTCTCTGGTATCCCGACTTGGACTGATTTTCTCTTTCCTCCGATTCTCTGTAATCCCTGGCTTTGGCTAGTTTGTTCGTTTATTCCTCTCTCTGGTATTCTCTGACTTTTGGCTATTTCCCTCGACGATTCTAAACGTTGAACCCATCCATCCTAAGGTCTGGTATTACGTCTCCTTGGTAGGTTTCACTCTGCGTGTTTGGGTCACTACCGTGACAGTTTGTATGTCAGGAATGTAGTGGTTTAGGTGGTGCAGTGTGTGTAGGAGATCTAGTGTGTAAAGGACCCAGAGTGTGTATATGAGATTGTGTGTGTGTGTGTGTGTGTGTGTGTGTGTGTGTATAGAAGATTCAGAGTGTATTTTTTATATGTTTGGACGTATTGAATGTGTGAGGTGCGCAGTGTGTTTGGTGTGCTGTGTGAATGTATGAAGGGTGCAGCATGTATATGAGGGGTGCTGTGTGTGTGAGCTTGTTCCTATCTGTGATCACATTCTATGTTTCTAATTGTCTTTTTTAACACACTGAGGGTTCATTTATATAATATATATATATGTGTGTGTGTTGTATATGTGTGAGAGTGTGTGTGTGAGGGTGTTGTCTGTATATGAGGGTGATGTGTGTTTGTGAGGGTGATGTTAGTGTGAGTGTGCTGTGTGTGTGTTGTGTGTGTGTCTGAGGGCGCTGTTAGTAATGTGAGTGTGCTGTGTTTGTGTATGAGTGTGCTGTTAGTGTGAGTGAATATGTTTATTTAAAGATGTTGGGGGGTATTTAAAAAACAACATTATATCCCCCCTCCCTTCTTACCTTTAGCCTGGGAGGAGGGCGGGGGCGTGCTGCCATTCCCGGTGGTCTTAGTGGTGAGAGTGAACTCTAGTCTGCAGGGTAACCGGGGGCAGCGCTTTGACCTCACGAGAGGAACTCGGCGGAGCTGCTGGCTAGAGCTCCCCAGGTCCTCTCCTGCCTCCCTCTACCCACATATCAGTGCCTGTGGACCGGTGAGGGAAATCTTTGATCTCCCCACCGGTGCATGAAGGCACACAGCAGGGTCGACAGAGGGGATCCTGTGATCTCCTCTGTTGGCAGTGGTGTATCCTGGTTTTGTGCTGCCCTAGACATGACAAAACTCAGGCACCCTTCCCACCCCCGTCCTGCCTTCTAAATACACATACACACTTACTGACAGACACATATACACTCAGTGTCAGACATACATACACTAGCTAACAGACATACACACTCACTAGCAGACACACACAGTCACTAAGAGACACGCATACGCTCTCTCTAAAAGACACACACATAGTAACACACTCCCTAACAGACACACACACACACACTAACAGGTGTGTCTGTACCTCACCCACACACTCACTAACAGACACCCACACACACACTGACACCCACATTAACAGACAAACACACACACACACATTAAACAGACACACACTCACATTTTTTTTTTTTAATTCTATCCCACCAGCTTCCTTACCTTTGGGAATGCTGGCTTGGATTATCACTTTCCCTGGGGTCCAGTGGGGCTGCTGAGCTCCTGGGCGGCCAGCCAGTGACTGCAGTCGGCGAGGGAGCTCTAATTCGTGCTCCCTCTCCGCCGCTGCCAGCCTGGGGGGTCCGAGGTGGCCCCCCGGCCAGCTCCTGGGTCCCCCCAGGACAAGAGGCTAGCAAGGCATTTGACTGGGCGATTGGGGCGGCTTTTTTTGCCGCCCAAGGCAAAGGCCTTGTTTGCCTTGGGGTAAATACACCCCTATCTGTTGGCCTCGGTCCATGGCCATCGCAGCCCACCGGGCATTTGCCCGGTGTGCCTTATGGCCAGTGCGGGCCTGGATCTTACTTTACAAGTTTTTATCTCCTGCACTGTAAATTAAACTGTAAATCTGAACCACAAACAAGAGACTCGAGCAGACTATTATCAGTGCAGGAGACAAATTCTTAAACAGACTCTGCAGTGAGGAAGTTCAAATGTTACTACTCTTGTATGTACGTAGTGGGGAATTTTCCGGTGCTACCTAATACATAAATTAACCACATTAAACCCTCCCAATAACGACAGACAACTTCGTATGGATGAAACAGGCCACAGCATTTATTATAACATGAATAAATACTGCATGACACATCCATAACTTTATTCAAAATCTTCTTTCTGTAACCAAAATTGTTAAACATAAATAAGCATAAATTAACATATATAACACACAGTGTTATACAGTAACCCACCCGTCCTTGCCAATAAACATACCGTGGTTCCTAATCACCACTTCCTCTCACCTCCCCCCTCGTCATAAATCATACCATTCCAATGCCCGCCATCAGCCGACCTTATCCACGCTCAATGGGCACGATACCTCAGGCAACCTAAAGTTAACCGTTTGAAGCAGGGGAGGTTGAGACTTGCCAACTTATTAACTCACTCCAACCATAAAACATAACCCCACAAACTTAATTAGCAAGGACATACCCCTGGCAAGCTGCGACTAACTACCAAAAAAAAAAAGGGGGCGGACGGGAAGCTGTCTGCTGGCGCGGTTCGCAAGTGGCACTGAGGTAAGACCACTCCCCCCACTAACTACATAGAAACTTAATCCCACCTACACATACTTCCTAAACCACTCCACTGCATCTATCCCCACACTCCTACATGTGCCCTTGTCCGCTTAGCTGCGCTATCTCCCCAGGGCCTTTACTTGATGTGTGTATGGAGACTGTGTAGTCTCATGCGGGGAGGTGTGGGTATGGCTGCAAAAACAAAGTTATTTAACTCCCAAATGGCAGAGAATTGAACGGTGAGAATGCAAGGGCATGTGCTTCATTAAGTTCATTAAATTATATTGGTGCCTACACTATCCCTTTTACAAATGCCATTTTCTTAATTTTGATCTTTCAGTTGTTCAGTAGATAACTTTCTTATTTGCTATCCTTATGCATACACATATAACCACAGATAAACATAAACACAATGTCATGGAAACATAACCACAGACACACACACACACAATCATAGATTAATTCAGGCATGCACACACACATAATTTTGGTGGAGAGTTGGAGTGGTTCTTCTCTCTGGTGGCCAGTGGGTTGCTGCTGGTATCATTGAACTCTCACTGCACAGACAGACATATACCTAATCTACCAAATGAGAGTGGCCACAGTTAAACAGCAGCAGATGCGTCCTAAACACCATTGCTCTAGGCTGGGGGTGCATACAGAGGAGCAAGGCATAATCGGGGGTGGGGGGGGGAGAGTGGTATTCTAGGGCAATGCCCTATGCTCAGGGTAGTACATTGGTAGGCATCTGGTGAAGGAGTTAAAGCAGCACTGTGATGGTCTGGGGGACTTTACCAAATTTGCAAAGTCCCCTGATGGTGACATAGCTGTTGGCGGCCCGGTGGTTGCAGGGGGCAGATAAGGGTGAGATTCTGATTGCGCTGCTATTCTTGAACACCTGGTGCTTCAGCTCCAAGAGTCGACATCACTGCTGTACTTTATCACATGCACTAGAATACAGCATTGAGGTCTATAGTGGATCCCTCCATAGACACATCAATTCACTGCAGCCATCACTGATGACAGCTGCAGATATAGACACATAGCCGCATGGGCATCCGCAGAAATTTTTTCGGGGGGGGGGAGGGGGGCGGGAGCATAATTGTTATGACATCCATGCTTGGCCCCTTTTTGACAGTGTCATGAAGGAGAGGAGCATAGTCGTTATCACATAAGGCCAGGGTGAATAGCGTTTTCACAACTATGATGTCAGGACTGTATTCCTGACACTATAGTGTTCCTTTAAGCAAATTAAATGAACATTCTGGTCACCATAACAACTTCATCTAAATGAAAATGCCATGATGCCAGGAGGCCCCTGGGCGCTATCTTTACTTTAAGGGGTTAAACCGCTTCCTCCAGCTCCAGGTTGCTCAGTGGTATTCGGCTTTTGAAATGGAGTGTCAGGAAGTGCAGATTGACGTCAGGCATGGGTGCTGCAGATTGGCTAGAGTGGTCAGCTGACGCTCTAAGCCAATCTCTAGTTCCTGATTCATAATTTTTTTAAACTTTTTTATGAATGGGGTGCTACTGATTGGCTTAGTGCCAGATGACCGCTGTAGCCAGCAACACCTCTACCCAACAGCACTCTGTCCTTCCTGACACTCGGTAAATAAAAGACACCTTAACACTGAGATTTTTTTTTACCTGGAGAAATGAGAAGCTCCAAAGTTTCCCTGACCATGTTCCAAAGCCTTATGATGTGGTGTCCAGAATAAAGTGGAGGGATCACTTCACTTGTCCTTCTTGCTCCAATCTCTTTTTCTTCTTCACAGTCTTCTTATTCTTCTGACACGGTCTTTTCTCCTCCTTGGCTTCTTCTGCTCCTTTTCCTTTCTGCTACTTTCTGCTTCTTTTGCGCCCTTCTGCTCCTTTCTCTTTCTGATCCCTTTCTGCTCCTTGCAGACCCATTCTGCTTTTTCTCCTACTTTACCTTTCTCCTCCTTCTGCCCCTTCTAGCCCCTTTCTGCTCCTTGCTGTCCCCTATTGCTCTTTTCTGTTACGTCTCCTTCTTGCTCCTTCTCCTACTTTATCTTCCTGCTCCTTGCTGCCCTTTCTGCTCCTTGCTGTTCCTTTCTGCTTCCTGCTCCTTGCAGACCCTTCCTGCTCCTTGCAGACCCCTCCTGCTCTTTGCTGCCCTTTCCTGCTCATTTCTGTTCCTTTCTGCTCATTTTTCTACTTTATCTTTCTGCTTCTTCCAGCTCACTGCTGACCCTTTCTGCTCCTTGATGTCCCTTCCTGCTCATTTTTGTTCCTTCTCCTTTCTGCTCCTTCTCCTACTTTACCTTCCTGCCCCCATCCCTCACTTACCTGATCTGTAGGCTGCCTGCCCATGCCTCCCTTACCTGATCTGTAGGCTGCCCCCCATGCCTCACTTCCCTGATCTGTAGGCTGCCCCCCATCCCTCACTTCCCTGATCTGAAGGCTGTCTCCCCATCCCTCACTTCCCTGATCTGAAGGCTGTCTCCCCATCCCTCACTTCCCTGATCTGAAAGCTGCTCCCCCTATCCCTCACGTACCTGATCTGTATGCTGCCTCCTCACTTACTTAATCTGTTGGCTGCCCCCATCCCACACTTACCTAATCTGTAGGCTGTCCCCCTATCCCTCACTTGCCTAATCTTTAGGCTGCCCCCCAATCCCGCACTTACCTATTTTGTAGGCTGTCCCCCTACAATATTGCATAGGGGTCATCGTTGGCACTCTGACCAGTATGTGGTTACAAAGAATTATCATGGCCAGTTGCGTTTATCAGAAATGTGAGCTACTGTAGCTCTTCTGTGTGATTGGACCAGACTTACTGTCACAGCATCGAATAGGCATGACAACTGAGGGCCTCCATGACCCTGACTACTGGTTGTCCTTCTTGCACTACTCTTGGTAGGTACTAACCACTGCATACTGGGAACACGCCACAGTCATCACTATTTAACCAGTGGCGTACATACCAGGGTCGCAGGGGTCGGGGCTGCGACTGGGCCCGGCCTACCAGGGGGCCCGGCCGCCCCTGCGACCTGGTATGTACCCACAGGGCCAGCCTCTTCTCCTGGGGGGCCCAGGAGGTGGCCACCTCAGGTCATCTTCCGGCGCCGGAATCCCTATGCGGAGCGCAAGGGAGCTGAAGAGGAAGCACTCAGGGGAGAGTGCTCCCTCACACGCCGGCCACCCAGACAGCCAGCCCGCCCAGCAGCACCACTGGACCCCAGGGAATCCCCCCAGCTCTCCAAAAGGTAAGGAGGCTGGGGGGATTAAATTTAAAAAAAAATGTGTTAGTGTGTGTGTTAGTGTGTTACTGTGTGTGTCTGTTATTGTGTGTGTGTCTGCTAGTGAGTGTGTTACTGAGTGTGTTTGATGTCTGTTAGTGAGTGTGTGTTTGTCAGTGAAAGTGTATGTTTTGTAAGTGAGTGTGTATATATGTCAGTAAATGTGTGTGTCTGTTAGCTAGTGTGTATGCGTCTGTTCGTGTGTGTCTCTTCTGCATTTACCTTTCTCCAGCGTCGGACTCCCTTGGCGCTGGGGATCCCTCCGCCTCTCAGCTCCGAATGCACATGTGCGGCAAGAAGCTTATCATTTTCCTTATGACTTTGTCCATGTCAGAATATGTACAGGTTTGACAATGTATTAGACATGTGCCCCACAAACAATACAGTAGGTAGGGTAAATTAAAATAAAGGTAAATGAAGATGCAGGAAGGAAGGGGAGGGAATGGGATACACGGTAAACAAAAAGCCAAAATGTGGATACTAACACTCCAAAACCCAAGTCCAAAGTAAGAAAGCTAATGATCCTTGTATTCGTCCCGGGTGGAATTACGCAATATAACAGGATGTTATAGAGGATCAGACAGTCAGCTCATCCACTGAGTTTATTAGCCTTCATTTTTGCTTCCGCAATGTACTTGGTACTAATGCATCTTGACGACTCCCTGTTGCCCATGCTCTGCATGTCACTAGTGTAATTTTATTAAAGAACTTTTTTGACTAGACTGAGAATCCCTTGAAAGACTGTCAAAGGAAGTAGACTGTGGATCAATTTCAAAAGAATTCATAAAGACCTCAGATTAATCCCATGCCAGAAAAGGAACAATTTTGAGTATGTATTTTGCTCATGGTGTGTTATATATGTGGATAGCTTTGTGGTCACTCACCTCCCAGATGTCTTGATGACCCTCAAGACAAGAGGCAAAATCAAATATGTGAGAAAGTCTTGTGATCCCAAGAAGTTAAGGGCAGCTAATTTTCGTCCTATGTAAATGTTTAACTTCTGGATTCTAGTTTCCCTAAGATTATCAAAAGAGTGGAAAGCACCTAATGGGAAGGGCAAGAAGGCCAGAGAATACTTAAGACAGTGTGAGGTCCCATTCCCTGTGTGATTTTTCACACCTCCGTCATAGTTCTATTCCAGATCCCGCAAGGAAAGTAGTTATTATAGCCCTCATGTACCCAAACATCAGTTGAGACTTGATGAAGGGTAAAATATCTGGATTTATTGGGAATGCACACAGGTTTATATACACAGATCCACAGCATGGGATCTCCATGCAATACATGGTAAACCCATCCATGCGCCTCTTTGCCTGGGAGATAATTGAGTCAGCACTCGTTTAAACTGTGATGGAGCTCCCTGTACTCGAATTGTACCTCCATGTAATGGAGCTTTAGTCCTGACAAGGACTTTCTCCCCCGAATCCTTCATGAACTGGAATTCTGAAACAAGGAGCTGAATAGCTCTATCCCTCCAAGGGAGGGCTGACAGCCTTAGGCCTTGGGGGCAAATCCAGTCAAGTGGCACATTGCACCACCAAATCAGCTCCCCATCCATGCCTACCTTTTTCTGGTTTTAGAATGGATATTGATGTTATGCTAATCAGTAGCTCTTTGCCATACACAATATGCGGCTCCATTACGCAGTGACACTCTTACCTTTCTGAAACTCAGTTTCAGAAGCCGGTTCCTGCTGAGGACCTGAAGATCTAGCATAGGTTTTAAATCATTAAGTTAATAGAGAGCCCGGGGACCTACTGGCCCCATAACAACTTAATTTAGATTAAATTGTTATGGTAAACAGTGTCCCTTAAAAAAGTGAATACATTGATAGTTGTTTTTTTATTTTATCTGGGATGATGAGAGGGTTCAAAGTCTGCC